CTAAGGGCCACCTTAGCAAAGCGCATCCCAGGCTGCATAGCCGCACTACCCTACCCAACCATACCACACATAAACATGACACTACCCCCGGGGTTTACACAGACGAGCCGGCGAAGCAAGAAGAGCGCCAGAAGAAAGGGCCCTAGCCGGCGGGGCCCAGCCAGGACAAAAGGAGGTCCCACAAAGCGCCTACACCGGCCGCATTTGCGGTCGGGGTAGACGACGGATGGGGCCCACCTACGAAGGCTGTCCAGGCCTACACGAGATGAGGCAGGATAAAGAGGGATAATCCCCCTCGATCCCAAATCATTGAGGCCAATTTCTAGCCATAGAATAATGGCGACTTGTATTATACGTTTTATGGTTAATTACATACTAGATCTGCCGAAGAAAGTAAATGCATTATAAATTACTGAAAAGTGTCCAGTTATTGAACATATATTTTGTGGTACCTAGATTAGAGAAGTATATAGATTGGCAACTCTAATGCCCCCACTACTTTTTTCGAAATAGTTGTGTATCCTAACACAGGCGACGCTAGCGTCGCAGGCAATTTTTCGAGAAACCCTATTCTTAGGCAATTTTTCGCAATGAATAAATATATACCGATATACCGTGTGTGTGGCCCAGGACCCAGGATAGATGTAACGAGAGGTATAACTGGCAAATTTAATTTTGAATTGGTATTTGAAGATTAAGTTCTGGTTGTTGTAATACTAAAGTAACAAAAAATGTGTTGATTTAATGTCGTACAGAGTATTTTATGAGCAAACTTGTAAAAAAATGTCCGTTAATCAAATGCTTTTATATTTAAAGATATCAAAAAAATTCCACTGTAAAAAGTTATTTACAAGGCAATTTTGTGTGGACATGTATAACCATAATAGACCATCTGCCGGCGTAACCAGCTGACACCAAGCCGAGTCAATGTCCACCTGTGTCATTCAATCGCGGTCAAGCAAGTTGGGCAATGGGCCTACATGGCTCATCGTGAAGAGTAGTGTTTATGTACAAGTTTAAATATAAATAATTTTTCTTAGCAGAATCCATATCATGGAAAATAGAGGTGTCCTATTGCCTGATGGTTTAATGGACAAAGTTAAAACGTTGGAAGCGTATAAGTCTGATGTGGAAATTTGGATTTTAATATTTATGTTTAGTTTTTGTTTTTCTTTGAAAATTTATCTTTTATGTATTGTATTATACAGTTTATAGTAGGTTTGTTCCAACACAGAA